AATACAATCACTTATACGCCATGTTGCACCGGTCTGTTGGACAACAAAATGGGGCATGCAACAGGGGAAAATCCCTGGGAAACCGGAAAGGAATGAAGTGCCTTGGGCACTGCGAGAAAGTTGGTAATAACTTAAAGAAAATTATTTTAATATTAAAAGATAAGTAAATCTATTTAGAAGTGGAGATAAATAGATTTTTTATACTTTTTTATAAGACACTACAAATTTAAACCAAACCTTAAAAAACAAAACTAGCCTCTTAATTTTAAAATTAAATGTTATAATTATCTTATCCCAATAATAAGGATTAAATGTGATATTAAAAGTGATTATAAGGCGAAGATACTTAGTAAATTTGACACCAGACATTGGTATTTGTTGTATTTACATTTGAAAGTGATGTAGGCCTAATATCTTTTGTTGGCCCCCCGATTTCTCTCTGTGTGCCAGGTAGAAAACATTAATTACACACACGTTTGCCAAAGGTCCAGAGCTCGAAGTCCCGACCAGGAGCTATGCAGTGCAGCCAGACCAGAAGGCAAACCACAAGCGCGTCATTACCAAACAGGGCAAACAGGGAAAACAGGGAAAACTGGGAAAACCAGAGATGGAAAATGGAAAAGAGGTTGGGAGTAGGATGGAAAAGGGACAGGGAATTGAGAGTGACGCAGAGATGGGGCCGTCGGGAATTGGGAATCGTTTTATAGCTCGCCACGTAAACTCCTGCTGCATTTTATCTGCTCCAGTTGCAACGGAGGTGCCGCAGTGGGAGTCTCCCAAGAGCGAAAGGGACCAACACATTGGTGTAAAAGAGACAGGGACAGCCCCGGAGCATATTTACATTTGCTCGGCATTTAATGCAAGTGGGAATTACAAAAGGAGGGCGTGGCCAGCGATGGTTGTTTGGTTGTAGCTTCTGGTGACTCTGCCACCCGGCTGGCGATTTAAAATATTCGAACCAAGCCGCAGCAAAAAGCCAGGCAGATAGATAGTTAAAAGCAGGAGGGGCCAGCCAGGTTTAAAAGCATAAGCGGAAGCATCATAGTGTGCAATACACAGGCAGAAATTAAGGACATAATCGTTTTTAAACGACTCTTTTAGCACGACACTTAAACATTTTTTTTCAATTTTATCTCTCTTTTAATTAAGCTACAAATGTTAAGAAGCATAAAGTCACTTTCTATAATAATAAACAAATAATTCCTTATTGATTGGTTAGCTTTGATAACGGGCAATGATATTAATGACTGAGTAGATTATATCGCAGCACAGTTTGTCTATTTTTTCCTCTGTAATGCCCTGTTTTCCCCGCTTTTCAGCCAGCATTTTCCCGTAAGAGCGGTAAACAATAATAACAGGCAACAACAATGAAGCATGATGGCCCTGGGAGGATTACAGGACACATTCATGGAGGGGATTTGGGGGGGGTGGAGGTGGGTTTGATGAAGGGCCAGGACCAAGAGCTGAGACTGAAGCATCGGGCGAGTATGCGACTAAGTGTTTTGCAACGGAAATGCCGAGCTATCATGCAAAAAGCCACTGTCAGATTAACGAACCATGGCCAAAACAGATAGGGGGTGAAAAGGGAATGAAAGGGGCGTGAATGGGGGTGAAAAGGGGATGGAGGGGATAGGGGGGGTGGAAACGTAGGTAGCCAGAAGGTAAACGGCATCGGGAGATCCGCATTTCAGGCACGTGACGCAGCGACAGTCCATGACCAAGTGCTGATTTTTTATCAGCCGGAATGCGAGGAAGTGACAGGAAGAGAAAGATGGGCCACGAACTGAACGAAAACTTGCGAAAGGTTATTGACATTGTTGTTTTTCTCCACCACACTCCACCACCCCTCCCAACTCCCTATCTGCATTTCTGTCTCGTCTGATTCGTTCACTTCAAAAATTCGTAGACTTGCAGGCAAACAAACGGCGTAAAAATGCAAAATGAAAAATGAACTGAATGCTGGGACTTAAGGTGGATAAAATAACTCTTATTCAAAAAGCTGAATTTAAAGATTTTAAGCACACAGCGTACACTTTAAATAAAAATTTTAAGATATTTTAAAACCAGATAATTTAGATAATTTAGTATTTTACGTATGCGTAATAATATTTAAGACCATTTCTTTAGTTTTATCACACATACGTAGAGGTGTCTTTGCTCTTATAATTTATATTTTAGAAAACAAAGATTTCAAGCTTAAACTTGTACACAGAGCATACAATTTAAATTAAAATTCTAAAAAACCAATAATTTAAATTTTACGGTGATAAAACAGAAGACATCGCTTAGTTTTATTCGCATACTAGAGGTGACTTTGCTCTCATTATTTATATTTTAGAAAACAAAGATTTCAACTTAAACTTGTACACAGAGCATACAATTAAATTAAAAATTCAAAAAAAAAAAATATTTAAAAGCATCTTAAGTCTTCAGTTTTATCACGCATACGTAGAGGTGTCTTTGCTGTCATCATTTATTTTTTAGAAAATATATTTCTTTAAAGTGCTGCCCATTAAATATATTTGAAATACAGTCATTGAAACTTATTAACTTTTTAAAAGACAAAAATTCACCCACACAAAAATATATATTACTCATACGCAGTGTGGTCTTTCCCTTGAAAAATAGTCTTTTAAAAACTTGATAAGATTATAAAGCATATAAATTCAATACCTAATATAATATATAAGTCAAGGTCTTAAAACTAAAATGTTAAGCTTTCACTGCTTCAAAGTTGTCATCAATTCCCAAGGCACTCAAAACAAAAGCTCAATTATTTTTGATCACCAATAAAATTCCCCCCACTCCAGATTCCGCCCAGCAATCAAAATGCAAGCTTCGCCACTTGTGTGTGACAAAACCCCTTGAAAACATCATTGGATCCTTCAAACGGGTCCAAAAACCGCTTAAAAGCATTGCATACTTGCAGGCGCCTCCTTGAGAAATACAACGGAAAAAAGCATAAAAAGCGGCAGTCAGGACAGAAATAAAAATAAAACGCTGCACAAAAACGGCAACAGAAAAACAAAGCAAAGTCAAGCGGAACGTAACAGAAACTGCGCAACTTTTGAAGAGGTGGAAATGCTTTTTAAGTATTAATTTGCGCAAACACTCGACGCAGCAACGAAAAAGCGAAAAAAGCGAAAAAAAGCGACGAGGAAACAACAGAAGAGGCAAAAAACAAGTTAATAAAGCAGTTGCAGCTGTAGCACCTCCTCAATTTCAACCTCCTTGTTTGTTTGCACTTAAACTTAAAAATGTAATATTGCAATTTAGAAAGTGTGCAGATTTTTTAGTGCTGGCAAAGATATATGAAAACCAATTATGCAAAGTATATGCATTGTTTTTCAAGATTCTAAATTGGTTTGAAACAATTCGTAATTTGATTCATTTATTATAAAATTCACAGAGTAATTTAATCATTTTTGTATTGTATTCAACATAAATTTAAATATAAATATTATAAAGATGATAAAATTTTAAAATTTTTTAAAAATTATTTATTAAAATTTTATTTTACGTATTTAAATGGTGTTAAAAAAACTGATGTCCTCAAGTCTCTCGTAATTTTTATGGCACTCTAGAATTTTTAATTTGTTTTGGTTTTCTTTTCATTTTAATTTTTGTCTTCAGTGCAATCTCTTTGACCAATGTCCCACTAATTGTTTGCAACATGGTCTATCGCTTTGGGCCAACACCTAACCTTAAAAACCCAGGACACCCGCAGGACACCTCCCGTTAAAAGGTTTCCCTGTCAACCCCTCTAAATATCACCCTCCCTTCCACCGACAAGAGCATTTTTACTGTTTTGCGTTAATTGAAAACTTTTTTGCGAGTAGATATTCGTATTTTTCACAGCATGGCAAAAACAAAACTGAATTGGAAAAGTTTTCTAGTTTTTCCCACACTACAAAATGGGGTGTGGAAAGTTGTCGTAAGTAGAAGTGCAACTCTGAGTTTTTAACGCTTTGCCGCCTTTCATTTGTTTAGACCTCAGTTCCCCTTTTCCCCTCTTCCCCCTTTTCAACTCCTCCCCCTTTTCCCTCAAAAGCTTGAAGTTCCAGTGGCTTACCACCCCCACCAAAACACAAAAAAAAAAGGAAAAAACCACCCCAAATTCAGAGCCAGACTTAAGTGTGTTTGTGTTTTCTCTCAGAACTTGGCGGCCAATTAGTTTGTTGCACTGCAATTCGGGGAAAGTAGGGGTTTTTGGGGACTTCAACTGGTTGTGGCAGCTGTTATATTCGAGACTTGGACTTGGTCAAATCGGAAATCCACTCTAAGCTGTTTGGGCTGCTGCGTTTTTTGCGATTGGAAAATTGTCATAAAATAAAGTGAAGGAAATGGAATTTTTGCTCGGACTTTGCCAAGTGAATTGCTTGAAAAGGAAAAATCTTAAGGTTGTTGTAAATTTTGTTTTAAATTAAGACTTTCATAAGACTAAAATTTAAAAATAAAACTAAAATGAATATAGGATTTAAAACAATTAGGAATAATCATCCAAAAAAATAAATTATGTAAAAAAAAAAAAAGGAATAATAAAGATAAAAAAAACCAGGTTATACCCTATTTGGTCTATTTAATGTAACAAATTCTAGGTTATGCTATAATTCATCTCAGAAACTAAATATTAATTGTTATTTGTATGTAAATTAATTGGGTTGCCCCATTAAAAAAGGTGCAAAGCGACTATTAAAATTGTATTATCTCCCAACCAGCAAATTAGTTTGTGATTAAACACAGATTCATTCACAACAATTGAATTTTAAAGCGCTTTAAAAGCTCTTTAATTCATAATATTCAAATAGCCGTGAGCAATCATCAAAAATGACTTCATTGACAACAGGTTTTTTGATTACTGGGGGAGATAAGGAAACCTTGAGAATCAGTTGAAGTGACTGACAAAACAATAGATGGTTATCTGTTATATAATTCAAATTAACCCGTTACTATTATATGTTTTAGTTGCTTGAAATATAATATCTCTCATTTCTACTCACTATTTCCCTCTGCAGCTTGGCGATATTGAAGTTGGCCTGGGCGAGTCTTACACTTAAAGTGGCCACATCGCTTGTTAACTGGGCCCTTTCGCCGGCATTGCGATCCACCAACTTGAGCATCTTGTCCTCCAGACTCTGGTTGACCTTTTGAACCCGCTTGTGCGATTCGTAGAGCCGGTCGTATTTATCCTGCCACGCTATAACACTGTCCTCCAGTTCCACCTGCCGCTCCGATTCCCTCAAACAGGCCGATTCCAGGGCATATAGTTGCGTTTGCTTCTCGATTAACGCCTGCTGCAGTTGCTCAATTTCCGTTGCTGCGGAGGCGGAAGTGGCCGCCTTTCCAGGGGGCGTGGCTGCCGCTGATATAGCCGATGCCGATGCCGCTGCCGATGTTGCAGTTGATATTTCTTTTGCTGTTTTCGGTGTGCCCGCTGTGGCAGCCTGCAATTGAGTAAACACACGAAATGAAATTATGAGCTGCAAATATTTTGTAATTAATTTTGCTTCCGGGGAGCGAGAAACAACAACGCATACCGGACGCAAAGTGTCACACGCTTTCGATTGCAAAACCCGCACTGAAAAGCCCCGGACAAAGTGGGATCCGGAGAATGCTGCTCCGGACAGCTTCATTATTTTACCAGCGGATCTCTTTCTGCTTAATTTTTAAACAACATTTTAAAAAGCTTTGAGCGTGCCGTGTCATAAAAATGCACGTCATGCCCGGCAGTTTGTGGACAAGGGGAGCAAAGGTCCGACTTAACCCGTAACGTGCAGCATCTGCTGGTAATCAGGGGGTTAAGTTAGGGTGAAAGATGGAATACCCTTTGAATCATTTAAAAGTCTTCATATTTTAATATTTTATATATATAAATAAAGTTTATTTAAAACCTTAAAACTTTAATGCTTTCTTTTGTTATAAAAGAATATACTTTTAAAAGATTAGGATCTATATAGCCCACAATTCAGCAGGTAGGGTATAGTACATGGACCTAGAGCTGTTGACAACTGATAAGCAAAGTGTAACGGTGGATTATACAGCACCGCTAACAGAGGGAATTCACAAATTCAGAGAGAGCGAAATGAAACAAGAGAGATCAGCTGAAGAGAACTGAAAACAGATAATACCACAGAGCTTTGGTTTTTATGAACGGTTAATCAGTACCAAATATACGTACTTTTATATAAATATATATATATATATATATATATATATACATACATATTATAATATATGTATACAGAACATCATTGGACATTATCTGCCAAGTCATAAGGCTTAAACTGCAATTTTATTCTATTCAAAGCCAGTCATTATTAAATAACATAACAGCCTTAAAAATATAAATAAACAAAACAAAATGAGCTTAACATTTCTTTTACAAATGCCAACAAAATATATTAGCTCATTACGAAATGTTAATGAAGCAATATCTTTATTGCCGATAAAGTGTATGTGACACGCTTTTAGGAATTTTCTGTTTGGTTTATCTAAATTAGGAATAACAAAACCAGGTCGACACCTATAAAAACGCTGTGATTTGCTCGACAAATATTGTAAAGTGTTCAACCATCAACAAGAAAGAAAATGGAATGGATTTCGAGCCTTTTAGTCCTGGGCATTATTTTTGGTGCAACAGGAAAGGAATTTGCAAAACCGGTTAAACATTTAAAATCATTTAAAAGGGTGAATAACTTACATATGTATAACATATTCCACAGGAGATACGTCTAATACAAAGAGCTCCAGATGTCACAACTTCAACTACTACGGAGAATCCTATTTCGGTACTAAATAAAACAGCAACAGAAAATCTACAATGGATCCTTTCCAAATATAGTCAGCAATGTAATAATAACGTGGAGTTATCTTTATGGCTGGACCAAGTTAAGGAGGCGTTAAAATTTGACAGTAGTCCCACGAGTATCAATATGAAGATATCGGTTTATTCGAAGTTCCAGGATTACGATAAGCAACGTTTAACTTTTGAAAAACTCATCGATGATCGCATAAATTACTTAAATGATATTCTTCCTACCCTCGAACCCAATAGCCAGTGCTCAAAAACTTACCTGGAACAAAAAAAAGCCTTGAAAGCGGCTAAACAACTTGACAATATCGTAAAATCGAAAATTCTTGCACAAAACAGCATCGATTGCACTCCCGAAACAGATTTTGATCTTTATTATAACTATTAATACATATTTTAATTTTTTTGAACTATGGTACTAACATGTCCCAAAACCATTTTAATTTATAGAAATATAACATGTGCATAATAAGATAAATATTTTGTAGGTCTATCTTACTAGAACATTATTGGAAAACTCACAAAAAATAAAGTCCTAATATTGTAATGACAATAATATAATATATATATCAATTTTAATTTATAATTGGGTCACCCTATTAACATGAAAATGTGTCAAATAATTGATCAACGTCCAAATGAAAAATTTGAATACAGATTTTTAGAGAATCGAGCCACAAGTCTTTTGAGGTATGAGGTATTTTTGGAATCCGAAGTCCGATTTTGAGTCACCCTTTTACAAGTCATCAGAAACTTAGCAAAAATAAATAACATGAAAAAGGGTCAAAACATTTATCAACGTTAAAATGCAAAATTTTAATGCAGTTTTTTAGTGAATCAAGCCACAAGTAAATTTGGTGTAATTATTGTCATCGGAAACTTTAAAAATATCTAACATGAAAATGATTCGAACAATTTATCAACCTTCAAATTACGAATTATGCAAGACCCAAACTTCCACAATCCTTGCAGCTCTTCCAAAAAGGTTTATTATATGGAAGGCCAATCCGGGCCTTTCCGACTTAAAAACTACCTGAGCCAGAATATATACATATATACGTTATAGGGTCCAAAATGTGTAATATTCTCTTTAAAGGTACATATATAAAAGTAACTTTATAAAGTAGAAAGAGCTCCTCAAGTACTTTTTTATATCGTCCAAGACTTGACTCCACCTCTATCCATAATGCGGTTATCAATTTCAATACTCATCCATCTCCGACTCGTCCAATTTAGTTGGGAATTTCGAATTTAGTCGGGCGTTTCGACGCAGATGGCTGATGGGGAAGCAAAGTGCAAACTACGTTCTCAAACAACTAATTGGATTAACTTGACACAAAAACGAGAAGGAGTTGCAGCCAGAATGTCGCCAGTGGAAACTTTGTCTTTGGTTACTCCTTGGAATCCTTCGGCTCTGTTGGAAAACCACATGAGTTTTCCTTTCGTCACCATATATGTATGAACGACATGAATTGGCGGGGGAAAGTCGCCAGTCTTTCGAGCTCAAACCTAAAAACTGCAAAATGTACAGAAAATTTAATTAAAAAAGGATTTTCGGCCTGGCTGCTAGTTGCTTGGCTTCTTCTTCGCTGACTTGGCCTCTTTCGATTTTTCCCACACACACACACACACACACACACTCGCACAAACATTTTCCTCAAGCCAAATAATTTTTCTTCGCACTCCATTTTTGCCTAGAACGCATAAGAAAATTCAATTTATAGTTTGTGTGTGTGGGCGTGGCAAATTGCCAAAGACAGACAATGCTATTAATTAATTTGGAAAGCATTTTGCCGGGCGGAAGAAGGCGGTAACAATTAAAACGGAACCGGTTAAAGAGCTGGGTGGGGAGATGGGGTGGGGGGTGGTATTTTTCGGGGCCACAATGATAAAGAGCTGGCCAAAAAGTTTGCTTTTGGCGTGTCCATGTGAGAGTTTCCGGTCCAGGCATACATTTTCCCGGCATATGATAGTTGTTTTCCCCCTATGATTTGTTTGCCTTTGGTCATTAAAACCATTTTCGTGTTCCCACATTTTTCTGCTCTTATGTCGACATTTATGTTAGGTTTTTGCTTGCGGCTTGTTTTTCAATAATTTATCAAATGCTTTTTGTTTTGATGTACACACAAATGGTTTAACAAGCTTAACGAGGGGCTTTTCCGAGGCCTAAATGGCGATTATCTTTTTTTTATCACTTTTTGTTAATCAGTTTTAATTGATATTATTAGGGATTAAGTTGTAAATTGAATAATGGGATAGATTTTATTTATTATTTCCACTTTAGTGCGCGTAATTTATGTTGTTCTGCTGATAACGCTTTTAATTTTCCTGTCATGGTTTTCATTTGTATTGCCACTTGTTTTGCCATTATTAAACCAAAGTGACACCTTAATCGTTTAATAGGTTTTAACCATAAATTGTTGTATACAAATTAATAATTTTTATATTTTTAAGCGAATAAAATGTTTGCCAAGTTCTCAAGTTATTTCCTCAAGTTTCTAATTTTTTATGTAGAAAACATGCTTGTCAGCATCTTTTGCATAACTTTTCATCAGATTCCAATTGTTAAAGCTTTAGCAGAAACATTTTCTCAACCCCGAGGATTCCCTTTTGTTTCTTGAAATTCCCACTTCAATCCTTTCGCTGCTCATTTTTCATGGTTAGAAGACATTTCGAGGAAAGGAAAAGCCGCTTGTTGAGTTTTCCCATGCACGCTGATGACTCTCCGAAAACCGTTTTCTAATTGTCATCCTTCTGCTTGGAGTGCATTGGAAAGCCCCGAAAGTAATGAGAGGAGTTCGGTGTCCTTGTCATTATTTATTATGTTGCTCAAGTCTTTCATTACACAAGCATTTCTGTCTTTCATTTGTTGCCTTTGTGCCGAAAAAAAAATAAGGAAAAGTAACAAGGAAACGAGGGAGAATTTCTTATCAACCGAGGACGTTGTCACATTCCTTCACTGCTTATTTACAGTTATTCAGTTGCTCATTTTCTCCTCCATTTTTCTTCTCACCCACACAAAGACTTGCAAAAAAAAGGGGAAAAAGAAAGTGTGACGCAGAAGTGTAGACTATGAATATAAGAATAATTCCCATCATTAAAAAATTCGAGGTTCATTTTGAACTCATTGAATCTGCCTACAGAAAAATGGGGTTTTAATAAACATATTTAGTATAATACTAGTTTTAAACAAATGTTGACATATAAGGAAGTAATTTTAACTTCTATTGTAAACGCAATACTTTAATATCCTTGCATTTTAAATTTAAATAATAAATACAATACTAGCGAATTATTATTCCCAACTTGAAGATTACATTTTTAGAGTGTTTATATTTCTATTCCTATTCCATGTTAAAATAGTACTGCAATAAAAAAATTTGAATGAAAAGGACCCTGCTCTGAAATATGGCGGTCTGCATAAAAGTTAGAAGTGGAAAATAAAGTTTAGTTACATTTGCCTATATATTTTCTTTCCAACGAACTTTTACGGTTCAGCCTCATTTGAGGGGATAATTACAGATCTGGCAAAGTCCCCGGCCACCACGATTTCCTCCTTGTTGTTTAAGTAACCCAAAACTCGCGACTTTTCCCTGGCTCAATCGATAAACAAATGCGGTAAACATCAATGGACAGCGGGAAAGGACCCAGCGGGAAACTCACACAAGAGTGCTTGGGCAAACAACCTCATTGGATGATGAATGGAAGGTCAATTGCCGTGACCCCGGCGAAAAAAAAAGAAATAAAAGAAAACTGGGGCCAAAAGCAGCGCTGACATTTAACGCAAAGCGACGCGAGCCTGTCAATGCCAATGTCCTGGATGAGAAGCCAGGACACGAGGAAGCGGAGGGGGAGAAGAAGGAGGAGGAGAAGAAGAAAGAGGAGCAGGAAGAGGAGAAGGAGCAACTCGAGATCCCGACCAGGAATGTTTATGCGAATGCTTGGGCACAAAAACATACGTGACGTGCCTCCTTCTTCTTCTCCTACACCTCCCCCTCCCCCTCTGCCCTTTCCCCACCTCGTTTACGTTGACTCTGTGCCCTCTCTTTCTATTCATGTAAGCCCTGCACTCAGAAAAAAAACATTAGCTACTTTCAGGATGCAAAACCTATAATTTCCATGAAGTATAATTTTTAAAATGTCGTCAAATCTGTCTGATATGGAAAATTATTAATAATTCTGTATAAGAACCAATTGATTAAAATTAGCCTTTCATTCTTGAACATTTGGTTAGCAAATCAGTCAAAATGCTTAATTTTTTTAAATTTTTAGACAATTGAAAATTTTTGATTTTGTAATAAATATAGCTGTTAAGTTAGTTATATTAAAAAATTAAGAATTCGTTTTCAAATATTTATAAATGTATATATTATGTAAATTAGAAAATGTGAGAATAGGTTGGAAAAATAAAAGCGTTTAAAACACAATGTTTTTATACAATTTTAGATTTCAGATTTTTATTTTGAACCACAAGCTGATAAACAAAATAATATTCTCCCTTTTCTAATAATGTTTTCCAAGTACGCAAATATTTTTCGCAGTGTCCTTAAGCGGCGGAAGCGATGTGCAGCGACTGACAGCTGAAGGAACACGAATAAGCGAGAGGTCCTGGCAGCGGGAGAAGCGAATTCCCTCAGCTGGAAAAATGCCTCATCTTGGCCTGACAGTTCGCCGAGTTGCGTCAACTTGTCGTCATATTTTTCAGTCAACTGAAAGTTCTCTATGACTTCCTCGATATAAGGATATATGTGCGGAGGTCCTAGATTGTGTGTGTGTGTGTGCGTGTGTGTATTTGTGTGCTTGTGTAATTAGGATAATGGTTGCAGTGGCAAACCATCGGGGGTTTGGCCAACATTCAATACGATATTTATAGATTGTGCAGCAATCGCTTAAGGTTCTTTCGCAATTTGCAGGACGGCCTTTTAAAAATGTATGACTTTGCTTGACTATTTAATCAAATATCTATGTAGTATACTGTGTTTCAAATCGGGTTTTAAGCATTATGCAACTGCTTGATGCTATAGGTAATTAATTTTTCTTTGACCATGGAAAATTTTAAAGATTTTTTAAGATTCAAGCTATTATCTTAAAGCTCAAAAAATTTAAATTTAGATGGGTTTTCCATATTTATAGCTTATTTATATTTTAAAATATAATTTCAATCTTTTCTTGTCTTAAAAAGGTTTACTAATCAATTATTTAAAATTCTTAGACCTATGTTTTATAAATAATATTATAAAACCCAACTGAATTATTACAAAATAATAGTTTCGCAAAGATACCTATAAACATAAACCACTGTGCATTATCGTTAACCCCACAGAATGGTCCCAAATTTGAATTGTATGTAACCCGACATATTTCTTATTGTGCGTATGTGAGTCTGGTTGAATATCCCGTACATTTTGCGCCTGACACATTATGTTAATACGCTTGTAGTTTAATGCTGGCATATATTGAGCTACATGTATTCAACTCAGACACGCACACACGTACAACGAAAGACACGCGAAATTTATGCATATTTTGATGGCATTTTGAACGCATAACGCAAAATGTCAAATACATAAAAATGAAAAGCCGACG